CTTTCCCTCCTCCCATTGATTATCTCTTCTTTTCTCCCCATTGGCTATTCTTCCTCTCTCCCTATTTGCTGTCTCTTCCTCTTCTCCCATTGGCTGTCTCTTCCTTTCTCCCCATTGGCTATTCCATCTGTTCTCTTCACTGGCTCTTCCTTTTTACAGGACTCAGGCTTTTCTCTCACTATTGGCCAATTCTAACCCTCCATCACCTACAGATTCTCTTTTCCCCTTCCTCTTGGTAGTCCTGAATATCATTTTAGTCTCGTCCATTCTCCTTCCTGCTCTCTTGAGAACACCAGCTGCTAATCGGTAGACTGTATGTTGCTGTGGTGCTGGAAATGGGCTTACTTTTGAGCAGACTGCAAGAGATACTGCAGTTGAGAGTTCATCACAGTCTACCCCGTGGAGCTGGGCTTGACAGGTCTCATTGCCTACTCTCTGGAGGCAATCCCTGTGCACTAAGATCCCCTAAACAAGACCAGAGCTTCTACATGACCCCGAAACAACAGAACAGCTAGAGCTGCTCCTCATTGGCGCCATTCTCCTCTCTCCCCTTTGGCTATCCTCTGCCCTCTTCTCCTGCTGCCGTGCCCCCTTCCCGCTTCCCTGGTCCATCTACCTGCTGCAGATTGAGGTCAGGGGGCAGCTCCTGGTGCTCTTGGGCGGTGCTCAGGCTGTCCAGCACACTGCCCCCCTCGGGACAGTGGCGCGTGAGGGTGAGCACAGCATCGTGGGCCTTGCGAAGCTGGGAACTGTTGGCGAGCGCGGCCAAGGCCTCCGGGCCTGGGGACAAGGCGTAGTGGAGTGCATCGAAGGGCAGGAAGACCAAGGAGCCATCGACCAGGCCCAGTTCCTCTGCGGCCTCCAGTAGGCAGCGCTGCTCTTCCCCGCCCAGCAGCACGGAGTGCATCACCATGATCACTACTGCGGACACGGAGGCTTGGCTCACTGCGTGGCCTGGCTGCCAGCAGGACCCGCCCACCTGGCCGCACCTTGCAGAGGGGCCTACCTCTGACAGTGGGTCCATCCTGGACCCTCTTCAGGGCTTCCCGGGCGCCAGACAGGTCCGAGGACTCCATGGCAGTCACCAAAGTGACAGGCAAGCCTCGGGCCCGGAGTGCTGTGGACAGTGCGCGTCCTGCCTCCACCCACAAGTCCTGGGGGGCGGTGACCAGGGCCACTCGTGCCCAGCGGAATGCACGAAGGAAAGTGTAGAGGGCATCAGCAGCAGGGGTCACGGCTGGGGCCGAGGTGTCCGCCGTCAGAGTCCCAGGGCAACTCCAGGGCAACAGCACGACCCCAGCTTCCTGGGCTAGCAGTTCGGCTGGCCGACAGGCCGCGGCGTTCACTGGACCCACTAGGCCAGAGAAGCGGGGCAGCGCGGAGGACACTGCCCCCAGCGAGCCTGGCGTCCCGCACGGCTCAGACAGCAGCGTGACCTCGAAGCGCGGACTGCCTTCCAGGGCAGGGTCTCGGTTCAGACGGGCAGCAGCCAGACGGGCAGCCAGGTCCGGGTGGGCCCGCGCAAAGATGGGATCGCAAGTCCAGGGGCCTAGCACCCCTACTTTGAATACTGCGCAGAGCGTGGAGGGCGGCAGGAGGATCAGTAGGAGCAGGAGCCGGAGCCGGAGCCGGAGCTGGAGCCGAGGCCGTGGCCAGGGCAGGGCCTGGGAGAGACCTGGCAGGGACTGTACCCACCTTACGGGGGCGCTGAGAGGGGGGTCCTGAAGCCCACCCGCTAGGAAGGCGCAGGCGGTCATTGCCGGCTTCTGTAAACACAGACCCTGGCGGTTGAGACCCTCCAGAATTCCTTTAGGACACTCCCCCAAACCCTCAATTTCTCAAAGCCTGACTACCCGTGGGAGGGTCCCTGTTCCCACAACTCCCTCATCAGGTTTGGACGACTAGATGGGGGCCCAGGGCAAGGCCTGGAAGTCTCCACCAGCTCCCCACTTGTCTGCCCCTCCCCCTACAGCAGAGCCGTCAGGGCTCTGCGGGGCCCTGCCCATGCCCTCCTATAGAGCCCAGTTCATGTGGAAGGGTCTTTACCACTCACCGGAAAGTCCGGGGCTCGGGCCCAGGGCCCGGGTGAGGGGTCACAGGGTCGATCCCCCCTTCTGATGCCCTCCCACAGGCCTCACCTGCCGGCCCAGCCCAGGGCGGGGGGTGTGGGAACAGCAGGCCAGAGCACTTAATCTCCCCAAGCTGATTAGGGTCCCTTAATCAGGCAAGGAGGGGCGGGCTAGTGGAGGATGGGAGCCCCTTCCCGCAGGGTCTGGCAGCCAGCCAGATCCTTTCCCCTCCATGTCTCCCCACCCCCCACCACAACCCCAACCCCAGCACAAAATCAGCCGCAAATCCTCCTTTCAAATGGCTGTCACATTGCCCTCCTTGGCCAGGAAAATGCCAAGATGCGCCCATGGTCACCTGTGGACAGTCCCAGAGTGGGGATTCTCTTGGTCCGATTTCTTCCAATCTTCTGTTTCCAATCTGACCCTGCAGTTCAAGTTCCATCCTTTGGAGGGCAGTCTACAGCCCAGAGACCAAACCCAAACCAATACGGTTGCCCTTCTCTCGTCTGCCCACTCTTGGTGCCCTGATCTCCACTTCTTCATGTATATATATATAAAAAAATCCCTTCGGGGACCAGCAGATGGCATAATGGTTACATTGCTGGACTCCCACATAGTCAACCACGGTTCCAGTCCTGGACCTGGCAGCTTAAAATTCACACTAGGTGCGTGTGTGCCCAAGATCCCGAGAGGAGAAAGGAGAAGGGATTGCACCATGTCCATCCCTGCTGGGGGTGGGACTGGGGGAGGGACTAGGGTTGGTGATTTCTCACTTTCTGTCTTTCTGAGGAGCACACACGCCCTATAGCAAAAATCTCTCTCTCTAAAAAATCAAAAGAATAAAAAATCTCTGTTCTCACTACGATGGTTAAGGTGCTGGACTCCCACATGGTTGACTGCAGTTTGAGTCCTTACCCCGGGCACTTTTAAATCATGTTGGGCACTGTGCATGTGTGCCCAATAATCCTGAGAGGAGAAGGGATTGTGCTATGGCCAACCCTCAGAGAGTGATTTTTCACTTTCCCTTTTTTTTTTTTAGAGAGAGAGAGATTTTTTTGCTATAGGGTGTGCCAGAGAGACTGAAAGTGAGAAATCACCCCCAGGGAGGATGGCTGCAATCCCTTCTTCTCTATTCTCTTCCCAGGACTTGGGGTACACATGCACCCAGTGTGAGGTTCAAGCCACTGGATCCGGGACTTGAAACACAGTCAGCCATGTGGGAGTCCAGCAACGTAACCATCTGTTCATCTGGTGGTCCCCTTTCCCTCTCTAGCTCTCTTTTTTTTTTTAAAGAGAGATTTTTGCTATAGGGTGCTTGTGCTTGCCAGAGAGATAGAAAGAAAGAAATCACCCCCAAGAGGGGATGGTCATGCCACAATCCTTTCTTCTCCATTCTCCTCTCAGGATTTTGGGTACGCATGCATACTCACCCAGCGCGGGTTCCAAGTCGTCGGGTCCAAGACCTGAACCACAGTCGGCTACATGGGAGCTCGGCGACATAACCATTGCACCATCTGCTGGTCCCCTTTCCTTCTCTTTTTATCTCTCTGTCTCTCTCCTCTCCAGCAAGTACACACACCCTATAACAAAAACCTAAAAGAAAAGAAGCATCTCTGCTGTCACGGACCTTACATTCTCCGTGGGGTTAAGGATAATAAGCAGATCAAAGGTAAAATACATAGCACGTAGGGCAAAGTATGAGAGTCTGCTCACTGTATTTGGGGATTTTGCATATACCCCAAGTACTTTATAATTAAACTTTTTTAAAATGAAAAAGATGCACATGTCCGACCCGTAGTAGGGTCCCCAAATCTAGCCGGCATCCATGTTCACTTACTTGGGCCTGTGCTTCTCCCCTTCCAGAAGAGTTTTTTCCCCACATGCCCCTTCTTCTAACACAACATCTCGGCTTGGAACTGTGGAAACGCCACCGAATCCTTCCATTTCACAGATGATGAGAATGAGACTCAGACCCTGATGTGGCTCAATTGACCAGCACCCAGTTTTCCTGTGGGGCCCATAGATTAACAGGTAATATTGGGTCACTGGGAAAGTCATGGCACATTTTTGCGTAGAAAAATAGGAAAATATGTCATGACTTTCCCCGACAACGACCCGATAAGGATAAGGGCAGATTTTTGTGTTTTTTATAAGGTTTTTTTTGGACCCGTAGATGGCATAATGGTTACGTCGCTGGACTCCCATGTTGTCGACCATAGTTTGAGTCCCAGACCCGGTGGCTTCAAAGTCTCACTGGGCGCATGTGTGTGCCCAAGATCCTGATGGAGGAGAAGGGATTGTGCGGTGACCATCCCTCCCCGGGGGGTGATTTCTTGCTCTCTGTCTCTCTGTCTCTCTGACTAGCACACATGCCCTATAGCAAAAATCTTCCCCCCTCCAAAATTTATCATTTTAACCATTTAAAAAAATAATAGACATACTTTATTTATTTTTTAAAGAGGTTTTACTTTAGGGTGAGAGAAAGAGACAGCGAGAGGGGAAATGGTCACGCTGCACTCCAGTTTCCATTCTCTTCTTGGGATCTTGGGCACGCACGCACGCATGCCCAGATGAGTTTCAAAGCCACTGAACTGCGGTCGGTCATGTGGGAGTCCAGCAATGTAACCACCATGCCATCTGCTGGTCCCCATTTTAACCATTTTTTAAGAGTACAATGTGTGACATTTTTATTTTTAAAGAATTATTTAATTTAATTTAATTTTTTATTATTATTATTTTCCAGTTTGATCAGAGAGAGACAAGAAAAAAAGAGAGAGAGAAAGTGAGCCACCAGGTCTGGGACTCAAACCACGGTTGGCCATGTGGGAGTCCAGTGCCCTTAACCACCACACCACCTGCCGGCCCCCAATGTGTGGCATTTTTAAGTGTACAGTCACATTTTGGTGCAGCCATCACTACCATCCATTTCCAGAACTTTTTCATCTTCCCCAGTTGTAACTCTGTCCCCATTAAAGACTACCTTCCCACTTCCCCCTCTCCCCACCCTCGGGCAACACCATTCTTCTTTCTGTCTCTATGAATTTGATTAATTTAGATACATTGCATAAGTAGGACCATACAACTTTCTCCTTTTGTGTCTGGTTTGTTTCACTTAACAAAATATTTTCTTTTTTTTTTTTTTTTCACTATAGGGCGCGTGCGCTCGCCAGACAGACAGAGAGAGACGTAGAGACAGAAAGCGAGAAATCACCCCCCAGGGGGGATGGTCACGCCGCAATCCCTTCTCCTCCATTCTCCTCCCAGGATCTTGGGCACGTACGCACACGCGCCCGGCGTGAGTTTTAAGCCACCGGGTCCGGGACACGAACCGCAGTCAACTACGTGGGAGTCCAGCGACATAGCCATTTCGCTAACTGCTGGTTCCCACTTAACATAATATTTTCAAGGTTTACCCCATGTTGTAGCGGGTATCAGAGACTCATTCTTATCTAAGACTATCCACTGCATGTATACCCTGTGTTTCATGGATCCATTCATTCATCCACAGACACTAGGGTTGCTTCCACCTCTGGCTATTGTGAATAAGGCTGATAAGAACACACAAATCTCTGTTTGAATCTGCACTTTCAGTTTTTTGGGATATATACGTGGAAGTATAGGGGGCCAGTGGGTGGTGTGGTGGTCAAGGTGCTGGACTCCCGTATGGCCCCTCGTGGTTCGAGTCTCAGACCTGGTCCTTGCTTCCTCACTTTCCCTCTCTCTCTGATGAGTGCACACACCCTACAGCAAAATTTTTTCTTTTTTAATAGAGTTGTTGGATCATATGATAATTCAACATTTAATTAATTGAGAAACTGACATACTATAGCAGCTACACCATTGTTTATTTTTTCTTTTTTTGGGAGAGGTTTTTGCTATAGGGCTCATGCGCTTGCCAGAGAGACAGAAATCACCCCCCAGGGAGGATGGCCACACCGCAATCCCTTCTCCTCCATTCTCCTTTCGGGATCTTGGACACGCACGCACACGTGCCTGGCCTGAGTTTAAGCCACCGGGTCCGGGACTCCAACCGAGGTCGACTACATGGGAGTTCAGCGACATAGCCATTACGCTCAGTGCTGGTCCCTACACCATTATTTTTTTAATGAGAGAGACACACACACAGAGAGAAACAGATATTTTTGACAGGATCTCACCACGGTGCAATTCTCCCACCCCAGCCCTCTGGTTAGCTAGGATTGCAGACACATGCCACCACCTGGCCTGTTTAGGTAGGTTGGGGATTCCAGCCTATGCCAACACGCCCAGCCTCACACAACAGAGCTCTCTCACTTGACCGTATTATTTTATATTCAAAAGTCAGAATATTTTAATCAGTCCTGGTCCTTCTGCGAAGACTACACGGCTAGCCTCTGGCACCACCCTGCCCCTCCCCTCCAGTGACCCACACCCCAGAGTTTGTGTTTCTGATCTGTTGCCTGCTAAATTTGTACTCAATCTGTAAAGTGCTGAAACAAAACACGCCCTCTTACTTGAAGGGCGGGGCCAAGTCTTAAAGTAGCAGCCTGCTGGAGTTACCAGAGGTCAGAATTACATTAAATCCAGGTGCTATAAATAACCTCAGCTGCAGGTGGGGCTCTCCCTCTGAGAGGGCGGGCTTTCTCTCTTTAGAGGGAAAGGAAAATGTCTTTTTTTCCCCCGGAATTATTAAGACCTTCTCGTGCTCC